TGTCGCAACAAATATATATAGCTGTCTTCCCTCCTGGCTCCTGCACACACAAATTACTCGCTAGCAACGTACGTGGGGAGGAAGAATTAATATCGATCCATCATGGCGACGACGCCGACGCCGACGAAGCCGGTGGCGCTGACGGTCGGGCAGTCGCTTGCACACATGTCCCGTGCTAAGATCTGGGCCACTGCTATCTTGTCCCAGCTTATCACAACTGGATTCAGGTTCTTTGCCGAGTGCCTGAGGCACTCGGCAAAGACTTAATTGTACTCGGCAAAGCCTTTGCCGAGTGCGGCACTCAGCAAATAACACACGGTAAAAAATTAATCGGCAAAGACCTCTTTGCCGAGAGTCCCGGTGGCACTCGGCAAAGAAAAGCGACCGTGACGGCGCCGAATCCGTTAACGGTGGCTTTGCCGAGTGCCAACCCTGCAAGCACTCGGCAAAGATTTTTTTATTTTTTTTTAAAAAAAATTCTTTGCCGAGTTCTCACTGGCCGGCGCTCGGCAAAGTTTGATTTTTTTTTTTAAATTCTTTACCGAGTGCCCTCTGGCCGGCACTCGGCAAAGTTTGAATTTTTTTTAAAAAAAAATTCTTTGCCGAGTGCCCTCTGACCGGCACTCGGCAAAGTTTGATTTTTTTTTAAAAAAAAAAATTCTTTGCCGAGTGCCCTCTGGCCGGCACTCGGCAAAGTTTGTTGTTGCTGAAAAGAAAAGAAAAGAGCAAAGCACTAAGCTTCTAAATCAAATAGAACAGAAATAAAAAATAAAAAGCATTCCCTACATGTAGAGTTATTTATGCAGAGTTATTTAGATAGGTATGCCAAATAAGAGAATGAGCAGCAGGCCATAATGCACATATGGTTAGGAAGTGCTTTTTTACTAGCATAAGAGACGTATGCACCATTGGAACAAACATGACATTTCAATTTTGGTACAAACAATAATACTGCTTTAGTAAAGTTTTTTAAATTGCGTAAAGTTTCAATAAGCAGTAAGACTTAAATACATGTTTCGCTTATGATAACATGCTGATCTTGTGAGTATCCTGGTTCCAGGTGAAGGCGATGAGTTTCCGATGACTCCGGCAGGACAAGCCAGCATTCCCGGTGAAGATCTGTTGCTGTGTGATGAATGACTTGATGAACTCACGAGGCAAGCATCGCCACCAAGACACGAGGGCGTTGATAAATAGCAAATCTATGAGTGTGGTAGGAGTCTTGCCTGCCTTGACTCGTTTCCATTGTTGCTAACGGAAATGTTAAAGTTAAACAACTAGTACATTGAAGCGTGTAAGAACACTGTACCACAGCCAATCTATAGCGTCGAATAATGGTCGCTAAAACATAATATTAACGACCAACAATTGGTCGGTATACCACAACCAACATTGTAGAAATAGACAAACGATTTACCATGGTCAGGTAACAATGCTATCTTTGTGGTGTTTACTACAAATGTAAGCTATTCCCCAAACAAACATTGGATCTGCACACATTAAGAATAATAATACGATATATGGTCATTGCTGCCAGCTCTATCACAAAGCATACTGAAGCCCATCGCATCACCAAATCTATAAATAACCCGGAAAAAATATGGATGAAATGCTAGCGGATTTACGAACCAGTTTGCAACTCGAACACTGCTGCGAAACATCATTACATGAACAAAAGCTGTAATTAAGATAAGAACTTATTACGACATTGCTGTAGTGAACATGTACAATATTTAATCCATTAGCAATCTCACCATAATAAATCTACTCTGTACATTTGCTTTCCGATAATCTGAAAGAGGCTTCTCAAACCTTATTATTATTCTCTGGATTTTAATATATGCGATGGCATCTTGATGCGAAAAATACAAGCCATAGCTCTAGTCTTTTAAGCACAATTCTTTAAAATTATTGTGGCGGCAATAGTAGGAGAATCACCTGGATTTTAGGAGGACAAATGATTAAGGAGAATCACCTGAAATGAAGATCCATAGAAATAAAGTGCTAATTAGTTACAAACCGGTAATGGTAGCGGGGAGAGTATGTAGAAACACAACAGCAGTTCACTTTGAGATGAACATTGCAGAGCTCTTTTTTTTTTTGTAATGTTTCGGATGAAGTAAGGGGTTGCGAGATACATTGTGGCTGATAGATAGAACATGAACATATATCTTGTTCAATTTGTGTAGATTGCTGAATATATATTCTAGCATGCTTATGCTCACTTAACTCTTTACCAATATGTGCTTCTAATTTGGTTCATGGTGGCACCACAATAGTAGATTAATAACAGTACATAAGAAAACAGTTCCTGAACTTTGTAATCGATACGTGCTGATATCTATAATTGGAACCGATTTGTTAATTTACCACCGCAAGTGATTTGGATAGCTACATGGATTAACCAGATACTTTATTGCCTTTTTAGATCTATATATGATGAACATCATCAAAAAACATATATCTTGGCTGATTAAGCGGGGTTAATCCCTAAATAAAATTCTAAAACATGCTTTTGGCCTGAATAATAAAAACAAATGATGAGCTTGTATGCATCCCAACGACTTATAGTGGTTCGACATCATTAGCTGTTTGTGAATTGCGATTAGACGACTCGTTAGTGCATAGCGATAAAGAGAAACAGATCAGATCGATCGAACGCATAAGCAAAGATAGGCTAGTAGCATGATTAGATCGAAAAAAATAGAGGAGGTAATCGACATGTACGTTACGGTTTAGGCGTCTTGCGCAGAGGTCATCGTCGCTCAGCCGGCTGGCGAGGTCGTCGCGAGACTCCATGGCGCGCTTTCGAGGTCCCTTCGAAGCCGGCACTCCTTGCTGCTCTTGTCGGAGAGGTCGGCGCATGCGGCGCCACGACCTCCTTTTCTCGACGCTCTCGGCGAATGTGGCGGAGGCCGCCGGCGTTCATCGCGGCCGGCACTGGGCAGGCAAGAGGAAATGGATGACGAATCAATAGCGAACGGGCAGAGAGAGTCCTTGTGACTCGTTTACCTTGAGGAGGTCGATGCGGCGATGGGCTGTGCGGAGGTCCTCGAGCATGCTCCGGCGAGATGCGATTCGATGGCTGGCGCGGCCCGGTGGCTGGCGGCCGCGGCTACGGCGCACGGGGACGGGAGGGCGGCGCGCAGCGCGGGGGCAGGGGCGGGCCGGCGTGGGCGCAGATGGCTGGCTGGCTGTCTGAGGTTTGGACTGCCCGGCCGGCCGAAATCGGCTAAGTGCCCCACCCGCGCCCTTTGCCGAGCGCCGGATCAGGAGGCACTCGGCAAAGGAGGCAACTTTGCCGAGTGCTCCGATCCGGCCGTCGCTAATTTTTTTATTTTTTTAATTCCTTTGCCGAGTGTTCCTGTGAAGCCACTCGGCAAAGAGAAAATTTCTAAAAAAAATCCTCTTTACCGAGTCTTATTTTTGCACTCGGCAAAGAGCCCTTTGCCGAGTGCCATGCCCCGACACTCAGTAAAGTTTTTTATTTTTTTTGTTTTTGGCCTCTAAGTTTTTTGTGCAGCCTCTTTAAAGGACCAGGAACTCCTCCTTAGAATTTAGGGTCTTTTGTCGCTTTTTAATATATTTAGTTACTTTATTTCGTTTACTTGAATTTTTTCGAAAAATATAAATTTGAACTGCACGTGGTACCAATAATGGAATTTAATGACTTGAAAAATGATAAGCATGTTACTGAGTGTAGTGTGAGACCGTATCTAGGAACGGACCCGAAATTTCAGACATCTTGTTCACGAAACATGACCGCGAACTTGCGTGCGAAATTTTTAAATTCATAAAAAACATATGATATCACGAAAATCTGAAACAAGTTGAGATTCATGATTTTCGTATGTGGAGGCTATAATTTTTATAGAATTTAAAAACACTTCACACACAATTCTCATGTGACATGTTTCGTGAACAAGATGTTCAAATTTCGGATCTGTCGGATACGGCCTCTCACAACACTCACTAACATGACTATCAATTTTCGAATCATTAAATTCCATTATTCGTACTACGTGCAGTTAAAATTTCTATTTTTTGAAAAAAAATCCAGTAAACGAAATAAAGTAACTAAATATATGAAAAAGCCACAAAAATCCTAAAATTGTAACTATGAGTTCCTAGTGCTTTAAAAGGGGCACAAAAAAATTGGAGGCCAAAAACAAAAAAACAAAAAAAACTTTGCCGAGTGCCGGGGCATGGCACTCGGCAAAGGATGTTTTTGCCAAGTGCCAGGCATAAGGCACTCGGCAAAGAGGGTTTTAATTTTTTTTAAAAAAAATTCCTCTTTGCCGAGTGCATCCACAGTAGCACTCGGCAAAGAAATTATAAAAAAAAATTAAATATTTGCCGAGTGTCGTGCCAGGGGCACTCGGCAAAGTATTTTTTTAAAAAAAAATTATTTGCCGAGTGCCAGACCTAAGACACTCGGCAAATAATTTAAAAAAAATTATATCTTTGCCGAGTGCCAGATCTAGAGCACTCGGCAAAGAATTTTTTTTTAAAAAAAATCAAATCTTTGCCGAGTGCCTAACAGCAGGCACTCGGCAAAGAAGGCCGTGACCGAACACCGTTTCACGAGCAGCCTATGCCAAGTGTAGAGATTTTGCCGAGAGTCTGGCACTCGGCAAAGAAGTCGTTTGCCGAGTGCCCTTGTTTGCCGAGTGCCCGGCACTCGGCAAAGAACTCTTTGTCGAGTGCAATTCTTTGCCGAGTGCAGCACTCGGCAAAGAAGGTCTTTGCCGAGTGCCCGATTTTTTACATTCGGCAAAGAATTTTGCACTCGGCAAAGTCTCTTTTTCCAGCGGTGCATGTTTCCTGTCTTCGCCGGCCTCAGCGTGTATGTGAACCTGTTGTACGCCTTCCCCGGCGGTCCGTGTTCTTTCCTTGCCGGCGTGCCGTGGCGGCTGGCGCTGGTGCTCGCATACTGCGCCTACCTGAGCGTGCTCTTCCTCGTCAAGTCCTACGCGGAGCTGTACCTGCCGCGCACGCCCATGGCCGTCGCCGAGAAGATGATGAACGTAGGCTTTTGGGGCGTTGGCGTGGCCGTCCTCGGTCTGATGGTGAGCATCCTGGCCCTCCAGGTCAACGACAGCCGTGTCCTGGCGGCCTGCACCGCCGTTCCCGCCGCATTCATCGTCGGCCTCGTCGCCTTTTGGGTTTGGCTCGCTAGTACCTACGGCGGCGCATCGGAGTCGAGTGGTGTTGCACGTCTGCCTGTCTAAATTAATTTCTCCGGTTTAAGTAATTTGTAGTGTATGGGATATATATATTTTTCTCGCTGCTACCTATAATCTTCATTTTTGTGCTTTGCGTCATTATATCTTTCCACTAGCTCTTTGCCCATATATGATCAGAACATTAACAATTTGCTTACAAGGAAAACAAATTGTTATAACATGCACTTTTACATGTCAACAGGTGACATCGATGTGCTAAAATCCCAAACAAACTACCGACCTATATAACCTATTAGAAGAAGATAGTTGAAGCATCTCATTTTCAGTATTTTTAACATGCAAAAGAAAACATACACTACTACAGCCGAGTTCTGTAGAGGCATCTAGGCCTATTCCGTCTCTACAAATAAGTGATTTGACAAATCAGTGATTTGTAAAGATGGTTGCCAAATGACATTTATAGAGGTGGCTGGGAACTACAAAGTGATTTGTAGAGACGGCTGGAAGCTTCAGCCATCTCTACCAATGGAAGCAGGAGTTGGAGAGTCGAGTAAATGAGTTTGAAGTTGTTTGTCTCGTGCTAGGTGGTGAGAGGTCTGGGCTTTACCATGAATTCAAGAATTTCTCTTTCAAATTGGGGTTTCCACCAGAAAGCACAAAACATGGAACTGAAAGGTGCTCGTAGGAAATCTTTTGAAGGGTACACCTTGATATATTCCCATGATTTCATAGCACCTAGAGAATCGTTAATAAATCTTCAAAAACCTGCTCAAACAACTTTAAGAATTCCCCCAAAAGAGGCAAGAAAATAGGAGGTTTTTGGATGGAAGAACTTATGGGATAATTGTTGGGCTTTGAACCATGGTACGAACAAGTTTCAAGGTTCGCAAGTGAATTGACTGTAACTCGGTTGGTTGGGTTTATTGTGGTCAAACCTATCCACCCATGGTTCTAAGTGCTCAACTTGACACGGGTGCTCGTATTTTCTGGATTTATTTTCAAGATTTAACAGCATTATTATTTCAGTGGTAGGCGATGTGCCTGTCGACACTAAGGCGTATGTGGAGATTTCATCAATCTCGATATCTGCTGGCTCAGTCTTTCCGAGATGCTCGTAGGGATAGGGATTGAAGCATGAAATTGAATCTTTGATTAGTTCTAGATGTTGGGATATAGGCAACTAGCAAAATTCGACCTGCAGGGGAAAGATCATCTCTGTGGCATTGTAGCAAGAAAAAACACTCCTAACAAATTAAAGTTTTCTTTAAAGGAAGTTTTCCCCGCTTTATTGATCACTAGCAAATATATTTGTGCGTTGCAACGGGAGAAAAAAACTATCGAATGTTTATGGTAAACGACGACTATAACCTCTGATTAAAATCAGGAGGGTTAATTGCCAAGGTGTCAATGATTGATCTCTTTTTAAAAATCTTTTAGCATCGTCACGAGCATTGAAATATTATATAAGCATTCAACTGGGCACTCATGTTGACTGCACACTCAGACACGGACAAGACCACCCAAGTAGCTTTGGAAGTTTTTTTAATACCACCAGGAGCACCGGAATATCACGTAAGATGGCACCCAGGCTGACTGCACGCTCAAACACGGACGTCACTGCCCGAGTAGACACGGAACATGCCTACGAAGCACAGCTCGCGCACACTACACACTACTCGACACAGGCTTGGTCCCCTCGGAAAAAAAACCCTGCGACACCTTGGTTTGTCCCAGACAGGAATCGAACCCAAGCAAACAAGCGTGGTCGCATCAAGGAGTGATATGTCCGCCAATGATTATGATTATACACTTCTCTTAATTTTTCACATGGCAATCCTCGTTGAGGATTACAGAGATACATTTATTTAGATTGGATTATAATACAAATTGTTTAAGATTTCAGTTTATGGTTTCATTAGCTGAACCATCAGCTGATCATGATTTTAATAAAAATAAGTTTTGTTCCTAATCCTAACTACATCAATAATTTAATGGTGAAAATGTTTTTTTAGAAAAGGTCAATAGTCCAAAGGTCCATCATCAGCTACTTTGGTGGTGAAGAAAAAATATTTTTAGAAAGGGCCAATGGTTCAAAGAACTATAATGTTGTATTTATTATTATTACTTTAATTTTTTAGAAAAAACAAAAGAACACCAGAGTGAAATCAAGATGGAAAACGGAAGAAAAAAAAGCATCGGACAAAAACACAGCACATTAGTAAACAAATGATTTTGCTGGACAGTCCCAAACATTAACTGAGGTGGTCACAAAATTTGACCGCCTCCAAAAATGTCGGATGATTAATGGAGGCGGTCGTTTTCATTTATGGAGGCGGTCAAATTTGTCCGTCTCGTAAAATCAATTAAAGGAGGCGGTAAAAAAATATCCACCTCCGAAAATTAATTTATGGAGGCGGACCTCTTTAGACAACCGCCTCAAAAATAACCTATTTTCGGAGGCGGTTGTCTAAAGAGACCCACCTCCGTAAATCAATTTTTAGAGACAGGCACACTATAAAGCCCGCCTTCAAAAAGGCTGAGGCCCAACAGGCCTTGGCAAGACCCGGTAGTCGTTTTGAATATAAATACAGACACTTAGGGTTTCTCGTTTTCACTTCTCTTTCTCCACTCTGAGACCGAGCGACGCCCCTCCTCGCGACCTCTCCCTCCCCCTACGGGGCTGGGCTTTGGATTGGTCCGACGCGGTGAGATCTGAGCAAACAATCCACGGGATCCTACGGGGCGGCAGATCGGCGTGTTCCAGCCAGCGTGTCATCAAACAAATAGAGCGATTTTGAAATCTTGGCAATGGTAACTTTCGATGGATGGATATGACTACAGTCACTGCATCTGCATGGTTTGTTATAAGCACTGGAACACGGGGAAAAAACAGGTGGTGTGTTAACTGATCGATGGACAGAGATGGTTAGGTTAGCGGCTAAGCGTCGAAGGATTCTGGTACTATATTTTTCTTAGCACTATGATTGTAGTGGTGGCAATTGTAATTAGTTGAGTAGAAGCAAGTAAAGAGGCCGGGAGTGAGACGTGCAACAATGAACCGAGCACGGATCGGGAAAAAGGCTTGCCGTGGCGGCGAATGCTTTGCCCGCGAAGCGAGCTAGCGGCAGAGCGAAGCGAAGACTGCCGGCCGTCGGTGCTGGTTGCATCCTTGGTTCCGGGGCGCCACTCACGAGGCCACGACGTTTTGTCTTTGGTTGGACGCGGCCGCAAGGAAGGAAAAACCCGTCAAGTACCAAAGCCACGTTGCTGCTCCTGCTCTGGGCTTTGTTTAGATACCCTCAAAATTCCAAGTTTTTTCACTCTCTCTCCATTACATCAATTTTTAGCTGTTTACATGGAGCATTAAATGTAGGTAAAAAAATAACTAATTGCACAGTTTAGTTGGAAATCACGAGATGAATCTTTTGAGCTTAGTTGGTCCACGATTGAACAATATTTATCAAATAAGACAAAAATACTACTATTTATCGGGTTGAAATTTTTTTCAATCTAAACAAGGCCCTGCTTGTTTGTACCATCATCGCAAGGAAGTACTAGCAAGACAGGCGATTTCCCATGCCATGACCGCTACTATTGCACGGCACGTTCGGCTTATCCGGTGCATGGTGCAGCAGGTCGTTTAATTATTGCAGAGACGAGTTCTTTCATCACAACTGTACTGTAATTCACTTTTACAGAACCTCCCAACATTTTCTGCCGCTAGCAAGACTACCGAGGGCACCACCGGCTAACGCTGACTTCTAGTACAAATAAAGTGATCTATATATTAGAGAATATCGAGATTACTATTCACATAATGCAAACTAATCACTACTTGTAATTTACACATAAACTTTTTTCTTTCATCATGCCTCACATTTATTTCCTCTCCCTCTTCCTTTTTAGCACGAACCACATTCTCTTTCTCAAGCATATATAGCTTCTGCAAGCCACTATAACAAATATAGAGTACCTACTTTTTTTTTATCCGATCCTACATGGCCCTTGAGGCTACAAGTAAAAAAGTAGCGTTAGGGAAGGCCTAACACTCTCTGACAAGCATTTGGCATACATCATACGTGAAGAGGAAATATTAGAAACATGTTCACGTGAATAGCGTAATAATCTTAGAGCAATATTTTTTCGCTAATGCTTGATTGAGGATGTCTGGACGGATCGACGGACCCACCCGCGCGCGTTACGCCCACTAAAAAAGGCGCGCGTAGTTATAGCGGGGTCCGCACCTTATGAGCGTGTGCGGTCACTCGTTCGGGGTGCATACCGTGCGTGGGGCCCGTGCATACGCGTGACCATAGAGAGAGAACTGGCTCCCTCTGGCAGCCTACTGTTGGCTGAACCAGTCGACCAGGTCGACGCGCCTAGGGCCACAGGCCTCCCTGCCTTGCATGCCCTTTGCTGCTTAGCGCCTAGGTCTGTTGTTGCTTGTCGTGTTGCTCTTTTCTCTCCATGTGTTGTCTGCGCCAGGCCTAGCCGCCCTTACCACATTGCTACTTTGGCCGACCGGCTTAGGCGCTTAGTCAGTTGCAGGGCTGGCCAGAGTGCTTGCCTGTTTGTGAGAGGAGCGCGGGTCCACATCTACATGGCAGCTGAGTGCTGGCCCAAATTTTAACGTCACTCCATGGCATCTAGCTCCGTATGTTTCATGTATTTTAGATGTATGTTTTCATCTAGATGTTGCATGTGTTTCATTTGGATGTTGTATATGTTGCAATGACTATACACATATGTTGCAAGTGTATGTTCCAAATGTTTGAGCTGTTTCAAACGTACGCTGCAAGTGTTTTTATCTGGATGTTGCATATGTTGCAATGGCTATACACGTATGTTGCAAGTATATGCTTCAAATGTTTTAGCTGTTTCAAACGTATGTTACAAATGTTTTATCTAGACGTTGTATATGTTGCACTGGTTATACACGTATGTTGCAATTGTATGTTTCAAATGTTTCAGCTGTTTCAAACATATGTTGCAAGTGTTTTATCTGAATGTTGCATATGTTGTAGTGACCATACGCATATGTTGCAAGCGTATATTTGTAAGTTTTATTTGTTTCAGACATATGTTTTAGCCAATGCTTTATGTTGCGTGTTGCATGACTAGGCGTAGAAAGTGGACGCAAACGGAGGTGGGGCCTGCCCAGACCCTAGTCTTTCCCTAATGGCAAGCCAAACGAAATCAGCACACAAACAGTTCGATCATGCCTGGCAGTGCATGTCCATATACTCAAATTTCTTCTTCTTGTATAATTGTATAAAACAATAATACAAAGTTTAGCAGCATATATTTCAGGACGGCGTCTATTCTGGGTCCAAGGATAATCCCTTTCGATTCGTCAAAAAAGAAATCCATTTGGATAGATAACAGGATGACCTTTACAGGAATATCTCAGTCCATGCATTGCATTTGCATACCTCGGACCTCCTCGGATCTCCAGAGAGACATCAACCAAGACAAACGATTACTCTATAGAAAAACACAGGATTACAAACGAGAAGACACGAAGGGCAAATCTCATCTGTGACGACGGCACAACTTGGATTGTTTCCCATGTCTGTGGCGCAGTACACAACTTACAGATAAACCAATGCAAACTGGTTGGCCGTTGCCGACGAACCTGAACTGACATTTGATTTTAATTTCATGTCACTCACTGCTTGATTTGACATCCTTTTTGTTAGCTAGGCTTTACACGGACACAGGACCAATAGAAAAAGCACACGTCGACTGTATGATAAAACTAATCCGAATCACAGTGCTAATCTTGGCCAAACACAAACGAATGGTAAATCCCTCTCCTTCTTTGAGTAAGCAGCGGCAACAGCTCCAATGGCTCCACAGCTATCCTCCATCGCTGCATCTTCAGGCCTGTGCTTGCTTTCAGTTCTTGCCATAGCCCTGCTGGCGGTGACCATCTACATCCTGAGTGTCGTTGCGTCCTTTGCTGCCTTCTGCATCAGAGAGTTTGTGGTTAGCGCCAAGGACCGCCCTCCTCTCACCGGGACCATGTTCCGGATGCTCAAGAACTTCGACCGGCTCTTCGACGATCATGTGGAGTACACGCTCGCCCATCGCACCAGCAGGCTGGTCTTCCCGGGCCACAGCGAGATCTTAACCTCTGATCCACAAGTCATCGAGCATGTCCTAAAGACCAGCTTCGGTAAATACATAAAGGTGGTTTTCCATGCTGACCATGTTATCTCCCCTCCATCCACTAGATATAGTTCTTCAGTCTATATTCATCAGACCTGTAAAGCCTGCAAGATTGATATATATCAGCGTCTTTTCATGAAATTACTAGTCTATATTCAGACCTGTAAAGTCTGGAAGATTTATATCCGCGTGTTTTCATGGAAGTATTAGGAGAAAAAGTATAAAATTGAGACTTAACTATTGTGTCTTCGTGTTCAAGTTAGTCAAACGTTTGTAATAATTAGTAGTCTGATACTCTGATTTCCTTGCTTGCAAGGGATGAAGCCAGATTTGTTTCCTTTATCCAAAACAGTCAGATCACTTGTACTACTATTTATTAACCTTATAAGCATGGGGGTAAATTAAGTATGTCCCCAAAATTTGAGCCTCACAGTATTGACGATGTTCCTCTGTCAAAAAAACAATATTGACGATGTTTGAACCTTTTCCACAGGGGGGTTTCAAAACTGAAGCTATGAAGGATCTTTTTGGAGATGGAATTTTTGCAACAGATGGGGAGAAGTGGCGGCACCAAAGGAAGTTAGCAAGCCATGAGTTTTCAACCAAAGTTCTCCGTGACTTCAGCAGTGGTGTGTTCAGAATAAATGCTGCAAAACTGGCAGAGAAGATCTCATCTGCAGCAGCCAATAGAACTACCATAGACATGCAGGTGTTTTTATAAGTATTATCAGTGAAAAATACGATAGCAGTGATAAGATTATATTTCTGGCTGTAGCCTATTCTACATTTCCTTATTAACCTAGCAAGTTGGCTTGCAGAAAGAAAAGCAAATCAATGTGTACATAAACAATTCTTAATTCAAGCATCCCAGAAAAGTGGAGCAAATGTATAGACAATGCTGGATTGAGATATCATATACCAGTTCTCTGAACAAGCAAACAAACATAATGATTAACTTGAAGCAGAGTTACAGAGTTGTACGAACTAAGCTTGATCTGAAAACTGAGTACCTTGAACAAGGTCATCAACTGCATGTGCTTAAGAAAACAAAAATTGTTTGGTTAGAAATTCAACCTCGCAGTTTTGCTTATTTCTACCCGTTTAATTACAATTACTTCTACCCTTTCGATTCCAAGCCAACTCACTGTAATGCAATTTTCCTCAGGGTCTTTTGATGAAAGCAACTATGGATTCAATCTTCAAAGTGGGATTCGGTTTCGAGCTCAACACACTATTTGGCTTAGATGAATCTAGCATTCAATTCAGTGAGGCCTTTGATGAGGCAAACTCTCTTGTTTACCACCGATATCTTGATATATTCTGGCAACTGAAACGGCTACTTAATGTTGGATAAGAAGCCAAACTAAAGAGCATTCAGATCATTGACAACTTTGTAATGCATTTGATCCATCAAAAGAGAGAGCAATTGAAGAATGAACGTGACTGTGTAAAAAACTGCATCTATCCATTCCATACTATAGTCTGTTATGGCATGAACAGGCAAACATCACCTGATTTGCAAATAATATAGTACAAGATGGAAACATAGTTGGTAATTAATTTTTTTTTTTGGGGTGGGGGGTTGGGGGGCTAATCTGCATCATGTGTCCTTGAAAATTTTGGAATAAGTTGTGAATTTGCTCATGTAGAATAGTAGGTTTTCTCAAGGTAAATAATATACCACACTGTTTTACTTGTAATTACATTTTCCTTTTGACACATGCAGAAAGCCAGAGAGGATATACTATCAAGATTCATATTAGAAAGCAAGAGGGACCCTGAAACAACGAATGACCGTTACCTGCGTGACATAGTCCTCAACTTCCTAATTGCTGGCAAAGACACCACAGCAAACACTCTCTCCTGGTTCTTCTATATGCTGTGCAAGAACCCCTTAGTGCAGGATAAGGTTGCCCACGAAATCATCGAGTTACTTGAGTGGGACAAGGAAGATAATAACATTGAAAATTTTGCTGCAAGATTGACTGAAGGTGCCATTGAAAAAATGCACTATCTCCATGCTGCAATCTCCGAGACACTCCGTCTGTATCCTGCTGTTCCAGTGGTATGAATAATTTCAAGAGCCCTATTCATGTCATTCTGCGCAAAGTAGAGCCCAACTGAAATCGAATTGTGCACACTTCGGTTTAGATATTAGCTTAGATAATGACGGCACCAAAGAACAAGCTTGATTTGTAGCTTTAGCATAATCAGTACGGTAACCAACTTTAAGCATACTTATATTGAAACTTGTTAGTTTAAGAAAGTCAATGGGAAGGCTTCAAGAGTTGCAGGAAGCCATCGCAAAATTGGCAGACAAGTTTTGCATAAGAATCGATGACAGAAATCAATAGCTCAACTTAATGCTAAGCCACTATTTAATTCTTGCAATAAAACATATTATGGAAAAAATGGCATTGCCTTGGTAATAACTTTCTGTGGCGTCCATGCAGGATGGTAAGTTGGCAGATGAAGATGATGTACTACCAAATGGTTATAGAGTGATAAAAGGAGATGGAATGAACTACATGATTTATGCAATGGGGAGGACGACATACCTCTGGGGTCAAGATGCTGAAGAATTCAGGCCTGAAAGATGGTTTGTGAATGGAGTCTTCCAGCTGGAGAGCCCTTATAAGTTTGTATGTTTTAATGTAAGTATTACCAGGGAAAGATCCCTTCAAGTATTCAAAGGGCCTATATTTTTACTAGTACAAAGCATGCCCAGCTTTTAGTCCATGCCAAGCAAATACATATCCCAGATCATCACTAAAAATTGGATAGGACATAAATATGAAACAGTAAACTGTGCTATCTCACTGTCAGTACTGATAAATCATGGCTTCAAATTCAGAATGAGTATTGCAGCTAACTTCAAGTTGCTACAAGTGACACCTACAATATAATAGGAAAGATGGCAACATGTGTTCACTAATTTCCTAAGACGATGGTCGGTAATTTCGTTGATTTTTGGACAGACATTAGCATCTAACCAGTCTCCCTTCTTCCATGATAATAGGCGGGCCCCCGCATCTGCTTGGGGAAGGAATTTGCATACAGGCAGATGAAGATCATGGCTGCTACCCTGGTGCATTTCTTCAGGTTCAAACTAGCAGATGAATCCAAGGAACCGACATACAAAACAATGTTTACCCTCCACATGGATAAGGGCCTTCATCTGTATGCACACCCACGTTCTGCATGAACTGGGCAAGCAAGTTGCTGCATCCTTTTATTTTATGCACTGAACCCAAAAGTATTTACATAGTATAAAAGAATAAAGAAAGCATGTGACAATTTTTTTCAGTAAATGCAAGGTGAGCAATGATTTTCTGTGCCCTAATTACCATCCCAGAAGCATTGAACGAAGCATGGTAAAGAACCAAAATGCATGGCACACTGGGCAAACAATTGCAGGATACCATTGAGGAAAGAAACAGAATCGAAAGGAGCTCATACGCCGATCGATAGTAATTGCCTATACTTATGTTTGCACGCTAGCGTAGCATACCACATTCCCTAGTACATTTTACAATCACACTTTTAACTATTATTACAAAATTCAGTTTGCCACTCATGGTAAATACTCTTGATACAAATGCACATGGTTATTCATCGAACCAGTGGTTCTAACCTTTAAGCTATTCATGGTAAATACTCTTGATACAAAATGAGGCATGCAATACACACTAAGTACTAAACATCATAGCTTGCAATAAGGCAAGCACATCATATGAACACTTTTGCAAAGTGCACCTGAGCATCTTCTGTAGTCCGACAATTTGGAGATACAGCAATGTGACGGTGATAGAGTTGAAGATACCAGATTGGCTACTCAGATTTCCAAGAAGACAATGGCGGGGTCTCAGAGTCCTTCCAGGTGTTGGCCATTTGAGGATAACGGTCACCCAAGACTTCACCTGCAGCAGCACACGACTCAAGTTCGGCCATCTCATCTGGTGTCAACTTCACAGACAGTGCCCCCATGTTCTGGTTGAAGTTCTCGATTTTTGTTGTGCCAGGTATGGGGCAAACATCGTTTCCCTGATGGTGAACCCAAGCCAATGCCAGTTGTGATGGTGTGCATCCTTTTTTAGCTGCCATTGCGTTCACATCCTCGAATATCTTAGCATTCTTGTCAATATTCCCCGGTTGAAATCTAGGCAAATGCTGCAGAAGTTTGAAATCCTTGTTACAAAGAGGCAATAGACAATTATTTCTAATTCTTTTTCTTCAAGCATTGTGGATGGGACCCTTGTATATATCAAATACATGAGCAGAACCCAAAAATGTATCTAAGATCAAGGAAATGTTTAAAATTAAGGATAGCTGAACCATGTATTATGCATATATGGGTAATAGTTTGAGTTCACCTTATGGAAGTCCTGCTCTGACAGTGAGTCAACTAGTTTTGCTCCACTACACAAAAACCCTCTGCCTAGTGGACTGTAAGCTACAATTCCAATTCCAAGTTCTCTGAAATAGTCACAGAAAGGTGATAATTCAGAAATAAGCTTCCTACTTATTGACTGCACAACTCCAGTGTTTGACTGTTCATGAAAGTACCTGCAAGTGGGAATTATATCTTCTTCCACATCTCTAGACCATAATGACCATTCAAGCTGTACTGCAGTGATAGGATGGACTGCATGAGCTCTTCGGATTGTTGATGCAGATGCTTGGATAACCCAATGTACTTTATCTTTCCTTCTTCCACTAGCTTCTTGAGTTCACCAATCTAGGAACAGAAAAGAAGGCAAGCTCAATTATCTAAAAGGAAATAGTTCATGGCTTACAAGATGCAGTGTGGGTTGTGAGAGAAAGGAAAACTATAAACAAGACATCATATGTGAACTACTGAACTGACAGTAATATAAATATGAATGGCAGAATGGGCCAAAAATGACAGCAACTAGTGTTTGCCAGGACATGGGTACAGCAACTGATATGATTGATCCAGTTGCTGGTATATGCAATATGCAATTGCACCTCAGAAACCTCCTACAAGTTCCTGCAATTTGTTTCTAGGTTAAATTAAGGAGTGATTGAGATTATGTAAGAGAAACCATGCATCATATGCCAGTACGCTGTCTTGCCAAATGTACACAAGGGCCCTTATGTTAGTATAACCACTCATACGTTGTAGACACCAACCTCCAACAAACCTGTCTCCACCAACCACTCACTAACTGTAATGCAAGAATATCCCCCGGCCAGCATTTCCAGCCTCCACTTGTATGTTCACATCGACCATCCACTGGTGACAGGCCACAGCTACCAAACAAAGGAATCAAGTGGGGAAGGTGCACTGCACTCACCGTGACCTCGATCGGCACCTTCTTGTCGATGCGGTGCTGGTAGTAGAGGTCGATGCAGTCGACGCCGAGCCGCTTGAGGCTGCCCCCTCGACGCCGCCCGCACGTATGCTGGGTCACCGCGGACCTCCATCTTGCCGTCGGCGAAGGAGACGGCAAACTTGGTGGCCAGCTCAACCTTCTCCCTTACCCCGCCTTGAAGTGCCTTCTCAGAATTCAGAGGCATTACATCGAACATCTTCAGTACAGACTGAAAAAAGGCCAATAATTCTACAACAACTCAACAAGGATCTAAAGCTCGAGCGGACCGACCTTGCCCAGCAGGATCTCGTTGGTGTGAGGGCCGTATATGTCGGAGGTGTCGAGGAGGGTGACCCCGGAGGCGACGGCGTGGTGGATGAGCTTGATCATGTCAGGCTCGGGCTTGGGCGGACCGTAGAAGGCGGACATGCCCATGCAGCCGAGGCCCTGCGCGGAGACCTCTAGCCCCTGCGAGCCCAGCTTGATGCGGGGGACGGACACGGAAGCGGCAGCCATGGCAGGTGCTGGAAGATGCTCGTCGACGTCGATGCTCTCGGGTAGTTGGTGCCTTGATGGTGCCTGGTGCGATCGCCCACTGCCTTGCCGTAGCTATAAAGAGTGGGAGGCCGTCTATGCCAGCGGCAGCGGGGCAGTGGACTGGATGTCATGACGTCACTGCACATGTCTTTTTTTTTGAAATCGTCACTGCACATGTCAGTAAGTCAGTTGCAGTTTCACAAATAAAAAAAAGTCGTTTTTTTATCTCTGACTATCATCAGACTTTAGATTTCTTCTTTGAACTTCAAAACAAAAAGAAATATCTTCTTAAACCGTTTAGATCTTTTATCTTTCTATTCTTTTTATTTCAAAAAGGGAAGCTTTATTAAATTCAAAAATGTTATGATACAACATCTTGAAATCCTTCCGGCCTCCGCCTAAAAGGCACATAGCCCAAAGCAAAAAACAAAAAGAAAAAACAAAATCGGAGCACACTAATGACTTTCAATCCGTAGACTAGACGGTCACCCATGTGCCCGGGTAAAATTCTCCTTGGCCACCTGCGCCAAGAATTGAGAGGCCACTGCAACCACCTCCTGAGAGGTAGGCTTCTGAAGGATGGACCATGTACGGAGCCAGTACGCAGTTGAGTAAATGACCTGTAGAAAGGAAGGTTGTTTGTTTTCACATATAACTGCTTTTTTCAGAGCCACAAGGACCAACACATAGCTGCCGCTCCCAAAAGAACTAAAGGCTTTAAGTCTTTTCTAAGCCCATCTAGCCATCTATCGAACATATTGGACACATTGAGAGGTCTAGGGAGACCCCAAGCAACACTATTTACTACCTTGCCAATTTCGTTTGGCTAGATTATCTTTGATTAGGATGACACCTCTTCGCAAGTATCACAGGAAGATTTTGATCTTCAATGGTGCTTTAAGTTTCCAAAGTCGCTTGTTTAGGTTAGGGACGTTTTGGTAGATGAGATCAAGGTAATGTGATTTTACTGAAAATTCACCCTTCTTATCTAAATTCCACCAAAATTAGTCTTTCTATTCTAAAAAGATAAGGATATGCCTAAACATGTAGTAAAGCTAATGTCAGTTGCAGTTCAAATAAGAAAAAAAGTATTTTTTTTTAATCTTTGACTATCATCAGACTTTAGATTTCTTCTTTGAACTCCAAAACAAAAAGAATTTGTCTTCCTAAACTGTTTAGATCTTTTGTCTTTCTAAAAATATAAGCACATATCTAAATATGTAGTAAAACTGATGTCAGATGCAGTTTCAAATAAGAAAAAAAAAGTCTTTTTTATCTCTAACTATCATTAGACTTTAGATTTATTCTTTCAACTCCAAAACAAAAGGAAGTCGTCTTCCTAAACCGTTTAGATCTTTTGTCTTACTATAAAAAGATAAACTTTGGTACACGATTAATAAGTCCCTTAAATTTTGTATAATTTTTAAACATCTTAACGATCTCAAATGAAAAACTTTAAAACTAAAGACTTGTAGATCTCATCGATAGCTAAAACTTTAATATAAAAAGTATTTTAATTTGACACCATACAAGAAAAATATAATTTTCATGAGGAGACAAACTCTAGTACACGAGCGATTAATATGCTGTTGAAATTTTATATTATTTTTTTAGCATCTTAATGTTCTTAAATGCAAAAACTCAAAACTAGAAAGTTGTAGATCTCATCGAGGTCTACAATTTTCATATAAAAGTAAACTTCATCCAACATCGTATCGAAGAGTTATGATTTTTCTAAGGTTGGGTGTTGTCACGTCACTCCTTGTGGCATGACAAAATAATGCTGTCACGCTAACAGGAGTGGCATGACAAGGTTTTTCACGTGAAAAACGCCGGCCAACATGGTAGATCTTGCCATGGCAACGCATGTGACGCGACAGCGTGATTTTGTCGCGCCAGCTGCACTAATGCTACCAAAAGAGTTAGATCTACAAAAATGCAAAAAATAAGAGTGATTATTATTAAAATATTAAAAAAAAGATTAAAAAATAAAAAAAATCCCAAATAATTCTCAAGCTGCTTCTTTTTTAAATAGAATCCTAAAGATAGATTCGAATACGAAAAATCCAAATAAAATATTTAGATCTCGTAAAAATATATCTAGAAGTTTTTTAGGTCCGGAAAAATGAGAAAAATGTCCAAAAAAGATATGCAAATTTTCCACAACTTTCTAATCAATGTCTAAATATGTTTCTAAAACTTTCTAAAATATGATATGCAACCAACATGAATGCAACGCAGATTAATATTGAACACATTCATGCTGGACACATCTCATGTTTTTATCAATGGAAGTTTTTAAATGTGCTATTCATTTATTATAATTTTTTGAGAATTTTATAGATATTTTCTCATTTTCCTACATCTAAATATAATTTCTAGAAGCTTCAAGATATATGGTCATTCTTATTTGGGCATCTCATGTCTCAATATTCATTAGGATTTTTCTTAAAATTTTAGTAGTAAGCTTAAAGATATTTGTCATGGTTTAGAAAATATTATCAAGTGTTTATTGGATTTTTAGTGTCTTGAAACCACCTCTAACGGGGATAAAGAGGTAATTTAAATAATTTTAGAAGTTGAGAGAGAAAAAACTAGACTACAACGGTAGTTCAAGAAAACTAAAAAGACTAATTTAATTATTACTTAGAAAGTTTATTATTACTCGGACCTTGGCAACTGGGCCCAGCCTATAGCCGAAGTACAAAATCGAGAATGATCAGGCCTGGTATAGCTTTGCCCAGGCTTGGGCAGCCGGGGTTCTCAAGAAACGAAACTGAGCCTGCAGTGTGCCCCGCAATGCTTATTCTCTACCATATTTGTAATCTCTATCTCTTCTATATATATCTATTTATATACAACTAAAAAATTCCACAGTCAACATCTATCCGGCAGGAGGTCGTTTAACCCCGCGTCTACCTGACAGTATATCCGACCGTGGTGAAGCCGCATCACCGAACGCTTTCACCATGCGATTTTTTTGGCGCCGACATGTGGCCCCGCGCCCTCTCCCCCACCCGCCTCCCCCACTCGCTCTCACAAGAAGAAAAAACAGAAGGCCCTGTCCCGCTCGGCTCCCGGCAGACTCCACCGCCGCCGCATGCGCCCCTCCGCTGCCGACACCGCAACCCCGATCCGCCCCCTGCGCAAGGGCTCCGCCCAACCTAAAAAAGGAAGACCATCCAGCATCGACCTCTTCTTTGATCTGCTAAATGCCCGCGCCGCCCCACCAAACCCTAGGCCAGCTGCCGCCTATGGATGACGACGACCTGGCCACTCCTACCCACGGTACCTCCA